CACATCACAACATTGTATTGAATTAATTCACTATTTTTACAGAATAAACGACGTAGAACAAGACATGCTAGGCGAGAGATAACACATAAAATTAGAGTTGTTGAATTAGGTTTAAAAGTTCATGAAATTTCAGATAACAATAATTGTGATTCGCTTGGTGACTTTCCACATTTAAGTACAGATAGTAGTGATAATGATGCAGCCAGTGATGATGTTATACATGGTCGATATGGCATCACATATACAAATGGCAATAATAATAATAATGATCATGAGATTGATTTGAACAATATGGACAATAGCGTTGATACTGCAGATGATCATAGTGAAGATGAGGCCTTAACAAGTTGTAGTGAAATATTTGAGGAAAATCCTACAAATATTAATGAGTTTCTTCGGAGTAATGATAAAAAAGAAATGTATCTGCTAAGAAATTTAAGAAAATGGGCAATGAAAGGTGTAAGCTTTGTTAAAGTTGATAACCTTCTGAAAATACTCGCAGTCTTGTTTCCCAATCTGCCTAAGAGTTATAAAAAATATTTTATATTTAGGTACAATACTTTGTGGGTCGCACAATCAGTCAAGGAAATGACTGGCAATGTGCTATGTACTTGGTATCAAAACTGCTAATAAATAATAAATTGGCAAGAGTAATAAGCTGGGGAGGTACTAAAGATACCAAAATTTCACTATCAAATAGTAAAATTATGGAAGCTGTTTACTGGGAGTATAATTCTATAATATAGCATTTTTGTTTTAATGAAATAGTAGATATAAAATATATGATAAATAAAAATTATAGGTGCTGTCCTGAAAAACCATCCAAAAAGTGACCTGAAGTTGGTAAAAACGAAAGTGCAAAGATGGCTGTACACCGGAAACCAAAGAAAAGTTTAATTAATATTTTACATTTTTCTAATCATGGACATATTAACCCTCAAACACCACACTATTTTCGTCACTTTTTTTATCACATATGTAATAAGCTATTTAGGTTAAAATAGGGCTGTGATGGAGGTTTTGTAATCTAGATATATTGTTTTTGTTCCTTACCGTTTAAAAGTGACGATTTTATTGAGGAACTGTGAGTCAAGAATAACTCATGTGTGATGTTTGAGGGTTAACTGTCTCTGTGATATTTAATATTAACGAAATGTTTTTTTTAGTTTATGTATTGATATTATGAAAGTATGATTTAACTTTATGTATCAAAATGTGTGTCGGTCACAATACGGTTGTGATGGAGTATTTGTAGTGGAGTATATTGGCCACGTTCAGCAGAGATAACCGCTCCACTACCGCTACGTAGCGACCGTCTACGATTGGAGTATTCTTTTAGACCTATGAAAGATGTAAAAGAATATTCCAATCGTAGACGTTCGCTACGTAGCGATAACGAAGCAGTTTTCTTCTCTTAACGCGGCCATTGCTTTTGTTCCTTACCGTTTAAAACTGACGCACATTTTATTGAGGATCTGTGAGTCACGAGTAACCCATATGTTATGTTATGAAAGGGTTAACTTTCTTTGTGATATTTAATCTTGATGACATTT